TATAATTTTTAAAAAAATTATTATAAAATTTTGTTGTGTACCTTTAAATATTGGTTAGAAAAATTAAGGATTTAGTTGTAGCATAGTTGTAAATTGAGCCTCCAAATTGTTAGATTTCGTCTAATAAATGTTCTCCAAATGTTATGTAAACATTAATTAAAATGAATATGCATTTATACGCTGTTAAATAACTTGAAACAAAGGTGAATGGGACTGGGTAACGACCACATATACTAAACGTTTTTACGTACTGAAAAAATATATACTTCTCTTACCGAAAGTAGTTGAATTGAAAGTTGTCCATCCATCACCAACGCTGTGGTTACCGGTGATTACTGTGCGGTTCATTCCTTCACCGATCAATATCAGGTACGGCTTGTTTTGAGGAATGGAAACGTATTCTTCATACACACCCTCTCTGATAAAAATCAAGAAATAGCCATCTGTTGCATTAGTGTTAGTTGGAGCAGCAGCAACAGCGTCATTGATTGTCCTGAAGTTTCCACTTCCACTCTGATTAACAACCACAATGTCACTAATCAAAACACCATCATCATCATCCCCGTATTTCCCTCTGCCTCTCACTGAATCGTAAATGGCTCTCGTTCGGTTTGACATCTTCAATGGTAGTTGACCATTTCGAAAACTTGGAATCCAATTATTCCATGTTGTCTTGTTTTTCTTTTCATGCACCCAACCGTTTGTGAACAAAGCCAGTGACACGCTGTGAAGTTTGTTGTCATCAAATAGTTGCCTTAAAAGCGCATTCCTTATGCTTGAATCAGAAGCCGTGGTCATTAGTCCATCCAAGCATGTTTGGTGATTGGTTATAACGGCACTGAGGAGGGTTTGAGCATCATCAGCTTCGGAGCTATAGAGTGTTTCGTTGGTGTTCTTGACAGCAATATCATTTGACCTTGATATGTATTGTGCGCTAAGTTCAGAGAGAAATAAGCAATCTTTGAGAGCACGAAGTATCCCTTGGGACAAGGTGGAGCCGTGACTAAGATAAAAGTTCACTAGGTTTGAAAAGGTGCGGGATTGAAGCAAAGATTTTTGAACTGAGAACCTGGCGAAGTCATCAACTTTGGCGTTTTGCTTAGGAAGCATGTCTCTACAATAAGACGGGTATGGGGAAAACTTGCAAATGGTTTCTGGCGGAACATGGTTGTTTGTGGCGTTATATGCCATTGCTAGGGATGCAAAGAAAGGAAGGAGAAAGAAAAATGATGGTGAAGCTGCAAAGAACACTTTCGTAGCCATTGTTATGAACAATGGATCGAATAGAAGAGAGATTGGGAGATGTCTATGAAAAGCATCGATGTTTAAGCTCCACATGTATAGCGTGTGGCGGGTTGTGTTAAATTCAAATTAAGATTAATTAGTGCAACATGATACGTGATTAAGTGGCTTCAACTTGTACCTAACTTGGTCAACTTGTTTATTTGAAGAAATTTTCATTTGGTATTTATAATTTGTGGATGTCAGCTATATATGGCAGGACATTTCCCGTTTGGTGTGTCCATGTAATGGCTTCCATGTCGAAGCTGGGCAGCTACGAAGCTTAATAAATAACAATTTTAGAAACGCAATTCGACCCTGCATGTATATTTTATCCATACAGTGTTGAAGGTGGTAAAGGCTGTGAATTTTATGTATAGTTTAGGGATTATATTACGTCAACCGTGTAGTTGGTAGCTAGGTTGAAACAAACCCACACTAATAAGTTTTCAACATTATTTTTTATAAACATATAACTTTATAATAGCTATTTGTTTATATTTTAAATAACATATTACATATTAAAATAAAATAAAGTAAGATGGTATTGATTATTTCTAAAATTTATTTTATAAAAAAATTATATTTGATAATTTGATTGATAAAACTTATTTTTTTATAAATTTTATGAAAAATGTCATTTTAGTATACTTAATATTATTTGATAATGTTAAAGCAGAAAGAGATCCACTTGTAAATAATAAATTACATCAATTTAATTATTAATTTAAAAATTATATTAATCCAACCGACGCAAAGCATGCAACGAATATATTAGTAAACATTCAAAAAATTCCCCTTAAATTCATCAGTTGCAAGCATATGACGTGAGACGTCCCGTAAATAGCCTTTCCAAAGAAAGAAAGGTTTATCTTATATAGATTTGGTGATATAGCTATCTTTCCAAAGAAAGAAAGGTAGATTTGCTTTGAATCAGTGAAGTTAATCAATAAGAAATCATCGCTGTTTGAGATTGAGAATGTTTATTTATAATTATACCTAGTGATATCCCGTACAATGTATGTAAATCTTAAGATTGATAATATTTAAAAAGTACCAATTGAAAACGAGATTATGTTTAAACTTTAAGAAAGATGAAATGCATTGTGATATAAATATTCGAAGAAAATTAGAGAAATAGTTTGAATTAAATCTATAATTTAATGCTTTGGAATAAATATTTCCTAAAAAAATGTTACATAAAAGCAAAAACAGCAATTTTATACACGGTTACATAATATTAAATATGTTATTCTTGGTCAAACAAGTGTATCTATGCTTTTCATATCTCCTAATATTAAATATAACATTATAAATAATTTTGATATTATTTTTTAATTAAAATTAAAGTTTGTAATAACTTATTCAATAAAGGTTTTTGTTCAAAATTATTCTTTCTTATTTCCATATATATAACTAGCTAGTCTCCTTCTATGTTATTTATGTGATCATAATTTTTTTCTTAATTTCTTTCATTTGTTCATCATTTTTAATTTTGTTCAATTTTGTTAATCATTTTTAATTCGATTGTTGTTTGATGCCCCTTGTATTCAGCTTTTTCTATCTTTTATGTTGGAATTAAGTATACAACTTGTGCCCATTCTTTGATGAGCAATTTGCTGTAGAAACAACTCATTAATTGGAAATACACTGGGATTGGTATAACATCTATCACTTATTTGCTCCTTTCTTTCTATCCTTGTCTTTCTCTTAAGTGTATATACACTGTCAGGGGTGTCGAACACAAAATGCACCACGAGACTCCATGTGAGGGTCGTTTATCACTCAACAGTACGTTAATGACTCATGGGTTTTCCTGAGCTCACACTGACCCACAAACCTGCGAGAAAAATACTGAATTTCATATGCATGTGCTCTCCTTTTTAGGAACATGGTCAAGTCATGGCATCGGAGTGGGACAAGTTTTCTCCTTGCATAAGAGAGTCTGTCTAATTAAATTTAAATAAAAAATTTTATTTTATATTAACTTTTAATTTTATAAGAAATAAAATCTTTTTAGTCTAAAAATTCTTACATTCAATTTGAATCTTTCTTATTACTTCACTTACTGTTAAATATAAATTGAATAAAAAATTTAAATTAAGTTTAAGAATTTTTAAACTTACATATCTTCTTTTTTTTATAAAATATTAAATTACTTGATAAAAAAAATATAACAGAAGATTAAAGACTTAATTATACAAATTAGTAATATGTCACTCACTTACTAATTTTTGTTAATTATTAGATAAAATTTTAAAATAAAATACTTAATTTAAACAATTGAAAAATTATAGAATTACAAATAAAAAAAAATTAAAGAGACTAAAATTAGATATAAATTAAAATATAAAAATTAATAATAAAAATAATTTTATTATATATATATATCTTATTTTGTAGTAAAAAAATTAAATTAATGATTAAAAATAATTTTTAAATTAAAATTTAGTATATCTCAAAAAAGTTGATATTTTTTTAATAATTATTATCGTTAATTTTATATTAACAGACAATAAAATTAATAATTTAATTAAAAAAATATATTAATATTTTTTAATTTTAAAATATTAAAAAATTATAATTATTAATTTAAAAAATATAAAAACACATTCTCAATTTGATGCGAACTCAGGGAGCACCTTAAGATTTTCCTGTTGAAATCAGTAGACTTATCTGGTCTCTCCCCTGACCCATGTCTAAAGATATTTTTGTCACGTATGAAAATCATAATAGTGCACGGATCTGGTCCTGTCGCTGTGCCCTGTGAAGTCGGTTGAAGTTTGCAATTCAAAACTCTAAGTGCATGTTGAGTTTAAGCATTGTAGAACAAACTTTAAAAATACTTTTTTATATACTTAGTTTTTTACAGTATAGCTTTTTTTTCCTTTTCAAAATATTTTTCTTCCTTATGTATAAATTAATGTAAATATTTATTATATAAATATCATTTCTCTTAAACATGATCATAAGCACAAACATGCTACACTGAGTGTAGTATATGTAAAACAATATACTTAATAATATTTTTTATCTTTCAAATAAATAAAAAAACATGATCTACTTGTTAATTTTTTCTGCTTAAAATTCTCAACCTTTTTTTTTTCATTTAAGTAGTTAGGTATTTAATATTAATTTGGGGTATAAAATAATTTTAAGAATAGATAAATCATAAATTTAGTAAAAAAAATAACAGTAATATGTGAGATTAAATTTTGAAAAAAAATAGATATTTTATTTATTCTAGAAGAGATTTAATATTTTGAAGTTAACAAAATTTGAGTAAGAGAATGTTTAAAATAAATTCATAGATTAAAATTGTGATAAAAGAAATTACCAAAATTACAAATACTTTAAGTTAGAATATAATAATCTTAAAAAGTAAATTAATACTAAGAAAATCTACTTTGTGTAATTTTAAAAATAAATATATATGAATTAATTTTGGTTTAGATGATAAAATAAAACTACTTTAAAGTATAAACATTGTGTTTTAAAATATTTTGTGAGTCGCATACCTAAAATTAATTTTATTCATTGCAACGTTAATTTTGTTAAGAAAAATCGTAATCAAACAAATTTAACACTGTAAACAAATTTTGTTCAGATCTGAATAAAATCAAACCCCAGTTGATTCATTTATGCACCCAACTACTCTATCTATATATCATTTCCCATCACCCACTTCGAAAAATACATCCATCTGAGATCCACTCTCTACTATCACTTATCTTCTCCTTAATTCTCTATCATGCATAGCTCCATTAGAAGAAGAACACCACCCTTGCTATCTCATCATGTACCCATTCTCTCCATGGTTTTTGTGCTACTCTGTTCTTCGGCAAAAGCAACAACAAGCCTCCAAGAAACTCACGTCCATTACCAAAAGCACATTCAAGTAGCTAACTCCACATGCGAAGGAACACTTTACCCAGATCTCTGTGTCTCAACCTTAGCATCCTTCCCAGATCTTACCTCCAAATCTGTCCCACAAATTATTTGTTCCGTCGTGAACCATACCATATACGAGGTCAGATTGTCATCCTCAAACTGCAGCGGTCTCCGAAGTAAGCTCCGAGGTCTCCCAACACTCGAACAAAGAGCTCTTGATGACTGTCTCAATTTGTTCGATGCCACCATTGTGGAGCTCAAAACCACCATCGCTGATCTGTCCCACGGCACAATAGGCTCGGAAAGGAACCAGCATTCTAGGACTCTGCTAAGTGGCGCAATGACCAATTTGTACACTTGTTTGGATGGTTTTGCTTACGAGAAAGGAAATGTGAGAGAGAAGATCGAGGGGAAGTTGCATGAGATTTCTCATCACGTTAGTAACGCACTGGCCATGATGAAGAAAGTGCCTGCAGCGAAGAAACCTTCCAAGAGTGAGACATTCCCCGAATATGGTAAGATGAAAGACGGGTTCCCATTGTGGGTGTCCCCCAAAGACCGAAAGTTGCTGCAAGCTGCTGTGAATGAGACCAAGTTTGATCTTGTTGTGGCCAAAGATGGCACTGGTAACTTCGCCACTATAGGGGAAGCAGTGGCCGCAGCTCCAAACTCTAGCACAACAAGGTATGTACTATGGCTTCTCCATCATCACATTATCTTTATATATTCATTAATTATGAGTTGTGATATTCATATACCTACACGATGCTTTTATTTTCTTTTTATTTTATATCACATTAATTATCATGTCTTTTATTTTTTTTCTTTTTATGCTCGGGTCTGTAACAATCACCGTTCATTAATTATAAATGCATGTGGCCCTTTTTTAGCCATTAATGAATAAAATTAATCACATGTTTTATTTTGGGTATGTGAAGAAAAATAAGAGAAAAAAAAATAATGATAACGAAAAAATACTATATAAAAATATGAATACAATTGTTAAACATTAATTGGGTTGTTAATTTTGTGTGGATATAGATTTGTGATACACATAAAAGCCGGGGCATACTTCGAGAATGTGGAGGTAACCAGGAAGAAGACCAATCTGATGCTGGTCGGAGATGGAATTGGAAAGACTGTGGTGAAGGCCAGTAGGAATGTAGTGGACGGGTGGACCACTTTCCAATCAGCTACTGTCGGTGCGTTTCATAAAAACTTTCTTAATCTGGTGCCACTTTTTACCCAGCTTACGATGGTTGGGTTTGATAGGAGTATTCATTATCGGAAAAGTTAAAGAAATAAACATAAAAACCAATCAAACAAACGGATTTGTCTAATTAATTAATGTCTGTTGAATTTAAAGCTAACGATGACAATAACAGTAGTAATTATAAAAAATGTAGAAAAGACAGCAGAAAAATTCCTACTTTTATGAAGCAATCATGAAGGACAGATGTTGCAAAATATCGTTATTTAAGCGATTATAATTATTAGTATAAAAACAGACATGCACTTGCACTATTTGAGAATGGTCAAGGCATCTTTCACTTCCGACGTTGAGTTTTTCAAATATGAAAGTAGGAAACAGAGATCTCATTTTCTGATGCTCTATCTATAGTAACTCCTATTCCCTCTTATCTTTTTTATAGAAACAAATTAATAAATCATAAAAATTTTAAAAAACATATATTTATATATTATACATTTATATTTATTCTAAAAATATCCATATTAAATAAGTAAATTACTGAATTATATATTAAATTCATAAATACTTCGTTCATTTAAATCTCATAATAAAAAGAATGTTAACAAAATTACTCATTAACTCCAATCCCGGGCAATGTCGGTTCACTGCAACGATAAAAATGACTGCTTGTATGTAGTGGTACACATTCTTGGCATTTACAAATGTAAACTATTTTTTCGTGTCTCCAACACAACTTAGATTTGAAAGTCTGAAAATTGAGTACTTGCTTATACCCACTTAAAATGTATTTTATGATGTTTTTTACATAAAAATGATAAATGTGGACCATATAATTATAAATAAAAATTTATAATTAAAAAAATTAAATTCAAATAATCATTTTAAAAGAGATATGTGAAATGAAAAAACAATCATTAAATTTTATTATAAATTAACATTAAAATATAAAAGAGATGTGATCATTTTTAAAATTCATTATATTTTTAAATAATCATATGACTTAAAAAAGTTAATCTTAACCATTTATGTATGATTGTATAGTTTAATTTTATCTTTATTATTCTCATATAAAACAAATCTCACTAGATGCATTTCATGTGTGTACTATATTGTAGACAACACAATAAAAAGCAATCCATATAAAAAAAATAATCATAAGATATATAGGATAAGAGATGTGTCTCACATTATTGTGAGAAAATATATTATTTTAGATCTCATATTGGAGTTTGGGATGTGAAATGGGCAGAAGAAAGAAAGAAAAAAAAAAAAAAAAAGAGGAAGCAAGAAACGTTAAATGATATGAAAAAAAATACATATTCTTATACCAATTTTTATATTTACTTCTGTTTTTTATTTCTCTTATTTATCATATCATCTTCTTTTTTTCTAACTCTATCTTCCCAGCACTCATTTAACGAGTATCAATGAATTATTTTTCAAAAATTATAGAAGTATAATAGTCATTATTGTGCTTTTCCATCAAGGACAACATATTACATAACAAAAAATCTCGCATCCGACTTGACACCTTGGCCTAAACATTTAATTCATTTTATGGTAGTTGCCGACAACTCTAGCTATAAAGACACGAGAATACACATGTGTAGAAATTACTAACCTTTTTTTATTTTTTGGCCAGGAGAAATTTCTAACCTTAGCTTCTTCAGTCTTTACTGTCCTTTTTTTTCCTTCCTGAATTCAGGACTAACCTTTTGAGTTGGGTAACAGATGGAGTCCACGTTGCTCCAACCCAACTAAAGGGGAATTCCTCTTTTGGGTCTTCCTCACTTTTCAGTGCATGAGGCCAGCGTTGCCAATTTCTTATTTTATGCTATGCTTTTTTATTTGACCCAAAAAAATGCTATGCTCTTTTATTATTCTTTGTATTTTATTCTATATTTTCTTCACTAATTAAAGTATAAAATGCTACCCTTGATAACATTTGTGGATTTCAGCTGTGGTGGGAGACGGATTCATAGCGAAGGGTATAACCTTTGAGAACTATGCTGGGCCAAGCAAACACCAAGCTGTGGCACTGAGGAGCGGTGCTGACTTCTCAGCCTTCTACAAATGCAGCTTTGTTGGCTACCAAGACACTCTCTATGTCCACTCCCTCCGTCAATTCTTCCGCGATTGTGACATTTATGGCACCATAGACTTCATCTTTGGCAATGCAGCAGTGGTCCTACAAAACTGTAACTTATACGCACGCAAGCCATTAGAAAACCAGAAGAACCTGTTCACTGCACAAGGCAGAGAAGACCCCAACCAAAACACTGGCATTTCCATCTTGAACTGCAAGGTTGCATCTTCTGCTGATTTGACCCCAGTTAAAACTTCGTTCAAGAATTACTTGGGTCGCCCTTGGAAAAGGTATTCAAGAACTGTTTATCTAAATTCTTACATGGAAGATCTTATAGACCCAGCTGGGTGGTTGGAATGGAATGGCACGTTTGCATTGGACACATTGTATTATGCGGAGTACAACAATAGGGGTCCAGGTTCGAATACAAGTGGCAGAGTTACGTGGCCTGGTTATAGGGTCCTCAAGAACGCCACCGAGGCAAGACAGTTCACAGTTGGACAGTTCATTCAAGGCGATGCATGGTTGGACTCCACCAACATTCCATTCTTCCCTGATTTAAGTTGAATCAATGGTTGTGGCTTAGTACTCTTAGCCTGCCAGTTAATGCTCTTTTGGTGTCCCCGTTATTTCGTGAAATAAGAAATGTGTGTTGTGGAAATGGAATGGAAAAATAAGGTAATTGTTCTTTGCAACAATATTCATGCATGCAATTTAATTATGGAATATATGTAATCACAGAGTTTGCACGTAATTATGATTGCAATGCGGAATTAGGAAACAGTTTCTTTTTTCTTGTTACATTACAACAGAGATCTTAAGATCAAAATTTTGAATGGAAACACATGTGTAAGCAAACTAAGAGCTAAATATGACAACTATCTAATGAGGCTAGCTAAATCTGTGTTTAGATAATTTTACGTTTAAATAAGTAGAAATTTATACTTATTTTAGTATTATTAACTATAACTTTTGTGTCAATCATTAACTAATTAATATGCTTAAAATTTGTCGATTCATGTTATAAATTTAATGTATTTTCAAAGCACACTAATATTAAATTAAAAATCAAGTATTTTAAAATATATTTGATGACATTAAACGACAAGGACATCGACTAAAAGCCTCTTCATTGAGTTCAGTGAATGAGTATGAAAAAAATCCACCGGATATAAAACTAAAAGGGCAGGCTAATTTATTTCTATTAATATTGAGATATAAATTGTAGTTTTTTTTAATATTATTAAATGAATAAATTTGCTGTCTGAGTAGCAAACGGGTTAAGTTGAAAACTGAAACTTCACACAGACACACACACACACACAGAGGCTACACAGCGGGAAGCTGATTTCTTTTTATCCACTACGTAAACTTTTTATTTTATTGAAACTTTACGAGTCCAATGTGTTGGGCTAAAACCCCACTCTCAACTTTGGGATAGAAATTGTGCTCAAATAAAAATAAACTATTTTTGACTTAAAAAAGAAAAAGAAAAAGAAAGTAAACCATTTTCTAGCCATGCATATTACTACTAAGAGTAAATCATTTTCTTCTAAAAGAAAGTTTACTCATCTTAGTATGACTTTCTTTCTTCTAATTAATAACTATTTTATTGGTCTCGTTAGTTAACGTTTTATCTTCGTTCAATTGAAAATACTGATATTTTACTATTTAATATTAGTAAAATTGAATGATTTTAATAACGGTTAGTTAAGTAAAAAAGAAGCTTTGAAAACTAAATTTAGATAATTTAATATTTTAATAAATATTAAATGGACTGACTCTATTATCAATTAAAATATAAAATAAAATTAATTATAATAATAAATAACTTCACATCTAATAAGTCTAGAAGATAAAATTTAAATAAAATTATAATTATAATAATTTTAATAAATTAATTTAAAAATATCTTATTTTAAAATTAGTTTTAGGTTTGAATAGAAATCAAATCACCGCTGTTAGGTCCACAACTCTAACGTTCAAAATGCCACTGAGAATTGTTATTCTAAAAGAAGGAAGGCTCATTTAATAGTGTCCAGCAACCAACCGGAGAATGATCACGGGATGTAAATGAAACCTGAGTAGTATAAGTAATGATGAAGCTAGCACCACCGTAAATAACAAAAAGCAAGCTTCTGCATTAGCGTAGTTAAACTTAACATTACACCTTAATCTTTGTTCGCAGAAAAAACTATTATACATGTTTTTGGGCTTTTCTAAGAAATAATCTTGCTCAAAGCACGTGGAATGTTATGAAATGGGGTTTGTCGCAATTATGGTGTTCATGAAATGTTTGTATGCTTGATAGGTCTTTGTGGCTATGAAATAGGTTCGACCAGGTATTAACTTGGCCACTTATGGCTCTTGTAACGTGCGTGAAATTTGCTCATGTCAAGATAGTGGAAATATTTACTCATCTGCAAGTTGATTTAGATTCCCGCATTGCTTCCCATCTGTTAGTGATATGCTTCTCATAAATAGACTCCCTTGTCACTAACTGAAACTAAAGAAAACTACGACTGTGTCTGGAAGGATGATCACAAGAGAGAAAGTGATGAGCAATGGAATGACTATTCGTTAGTGTAAGAGTTTGTTTCTTATGTAACGTCACTCTAATTTGAGGTGAACAGATTGAATCCTATTAATAAATATTACATTTTGCTAACTCATAACTAAGATGAAAGTAAAAACAAGTTAACTTCCCTTTAAATTGTCTTTGTTAATTTGCAAATGATAGTTGACATTATTATGTAAATGAGACAATTAAGTGACTATTTAATTTAAATTGGTAGAATGAATTTAAAATTATTGGCATATTCAAGTTTCGTCAAATATTTGAAAAAATAAACAAAATTTATCAAATATGCAATAAATTATAAAATTTACGTAGTTTATATATCCAACTCAAAATGTCTAAAATAACCCGAACGTAGGAATGATAATGCATCTATATTCATTGGATACTTACAAAAATATCTACAAGGATAATATATATATATATATATATATATATATATATATATTATTTAGAAGCTTATTTGTTGTCAATAAGGTAATAAACCTATTTGATAAAAAAAAAAAAAGTTTGTGACTTTTAAATATAACATGATTTTTCAGGAACTGGTTTATAAAAAAAATTTAAGTAATATTCAGCTTACTAAAAGTTAATCTTTAATATGTTTTTTTATTTTCATACTTATCCTTTTAATTAATTTATACTTATAGAAATAACTTAATGATATTTTATAGTCATATAAAAAATCTTAGTAAATAAAACTAATTAATTATAAACTATAAGCTTCCTTTCTGCCTAGAATTCTGTGAGGGATGACATTGACGACCAAAGGCCGAAAGTTCTTTAGCGTATCTGCAGAAGTTCCATACCGATGGATGGGGGTTGATGGTGGTTCATGGATCTTAATGAGTGATATTTCTATGGTATTTCTTCTCTTCTCCATGCTTGTGTTCATCACCTTTCTCCGACAGTTTTTCCGTTTTCGAGCACCGAACACTTGTTTTATTTGTTTGTTCACAAATAGTTGAGTTCATATATACTCTCCATCCAAGTCGTGCCCAAAAACTTCTCTCGATTCAAGCGCTGGCTAGATCCATTGCCCCAGAAATACAATTTTCTTTCTCTTAATATCCTTTTATCCATGTCAAATATTTATATCATATAAATAGTCTAGTAGCTAAAAAATTCATTGATAAATAATAATTTGACAATTTTACTAATTAATTATAATATAATAATTAGATTCCTCACATTGTGCAATATTTTATTTTTCTCAACGAATGAGTAAGGATAAAGATAGTATTGTTTATAAAACAGTTGTTATACTCTTCTTCTTTTTTTAATCTTTTTTTCCTTCTTTTCTCCCTTTGTTTTACAAAAATTGTAAAAATACAATATCCACACACATTTAAACAAAAATTAAGTGCATTTTTTTTCACATTATTTTAAAGCAATTATCACACTTTTATTAATTTAAAAAATAAAATGTGGGACTTTTTTATAATAATCTTTTCTTGCGCATAATGTTAATTTTGATTCATAAAACTTAGAGAACTATAATAAAATAAAAATCATATATGTCATAAAGGTACAACTGAGGAACAAACTTCATATGTATTTTTTTATCAAAATTATTAAAATAAAAAAGGAAAGAATGAGTGAATTATTCTTAGTAAAATGTTTTTTTATTTATCAAAAGTTAAATAAATTTTGTTGTTTCTTTATACACACCTGTACAAATTCATACTTATACATAATTTTTGTGTATTTAGATTAACATTAAGTTTACTTATACATAAATTTATTTTAATATTAAGTTGAACTAATTTTAATTAATTTTTGAACACATTTCATATTTTTTTCATAACTCTTGTTTTTTAGATTTATAGTCTTATCAGGGTGAGAGAGAAATTAGATATGGAGGCAAGAACACAAGAAAGCGAGAGAAGAAGCCTAATAGAAGAAAAGAAAAAAAGCTAGATGAGGAGAGAAGAGGAGGGAGATGAGTGGGGTGAAGGAGAGGGGAGGAAAGGAAAGCTAAACGAGGAGAGAGAAAGAAGAAGAGATAAGGAAGGTAAGAAAAAAAAGAGGATGATTAGATTGGGAGGAGAGGGGAAAAGAAAAAATTAAAGTAATAAAAAAAATTAAATTTTTTTTATATATTTTTACTTAAGCTAATTATATGCTACAATGTATTTTTATTTTTATTTAAGTGATTTTTTTTAATTTAAATAAAAATTAACTAAAATGAATTTGTATTAGTTTAAGCAAAAATCATTTAAAAGAAAAAAACTACTGTCTAGATGAGGAGAAAAAGGAAGAGATGGAGACAAGAATACAAGAGAGCAGGAGAAGAAGACTAATAAGAAAAAAAAAGAGCTAGATGAGGAGAGAAAGGAAGAGAGATGAGTGAGGTGAAGGAGAGGGGAGGAAATGAGAGCTAAACTAGGAGAGAGAGAAGGAGATTGAGTGAGGTTGAAAGAAGAAGAAATAAAGAAAGTAAGAAAAGAAATAGACTAAAAAGGAAAGAAGAAGAGAGTGATTAGATTAAAAGGAGAGGAGAAAAGAGAAAACTGAAATAATGAAAAAAAAAAAGTATTTTTTTTTACATATTTTCACTTAAGCTAATTATATGCTGCAATGTATTTTTATTTTTATTTAAGTGATTTTTTTTAATTTAAACAAAAATTAACTAAAACGAATTTGTATTAGTTTAAGCAAAAATCATTTAAAAGAAAAAACTACGCTCTACAGTCTCCGTCAAAACTGCGGTGCAGTAGGATGCGGCCTAATTATTATTGTTGCATTGTAAGCAAGCAAGTAGGACGTTAGAGGGGCAGCTTTTGCTTTTTATAAATAGAGGCAGAACAAGTGATAGCATAGCCTTGCAGTTTTGGTTGGTTCATTTTTCTTTGGGCAGAGTGAGTGAGTGAGTATGACTTATTTTTGTCTCATTTTCCATTTTTCTCTTCTCTTCTCCACTACACTCTTCGTCCCTGCCCTTTCCCTCCACCACCCTCGCTTTGCAACACACAACTACAAAGATGCTCTCTCCAAATCCATCATCTTCTTCGAGGGTCAAAGGTCAGGGAAGCTCCCTTCTACTCAGAGGATGTCTTGGAGGATGGATTCTGCTCTCTCTGATGGCTCCACCATGCATGTATGTGTAATAAATCATACCGCATTCTTATTTGTCTCAGTTCTTGTTTATTTAAGTGTAAACATGCAATGCAGGTTGATTTGGTTGGAGGGTACTACGATGCAGGGGACAATGTCAAGTTCGGTTTTCCCATGGCCTTTACCACCACCATGCTTTCGTGGAGTGTTGTTGAGTTTGGAGGGGTGATGAAAGGTGAGTTGCAGAATGCCAGAGAGGCCATTCGTTGGGCCACGGATTATCTTCTCAAAGCTACTGTACATCCAGACACAATTTATGTTCAGGTTAGTTTTCTGTTTTTCTGTTCCTATTACAGAGAAGAAAGCAAGGGAAGTGTTATGATTGAGGGTGGGTTTTACTTGCAGGTGGGAGATGCTGAGAAGGACCACGCTTGTTGGGAGAGACCTGAGGACATGGATACCCCAAGAAGTGTCTTTAAGATAGATAGAAACAACCCCGGTTCAGATGTGGCTGCAGAAACTGCTGCGGCTCTTGCAGCTGCTTCTCTGGCTTTCAGAAAAACTGACCCCACCTACTCCAAAACTTTGGTTAGGAGGGCTATCCGTGTAAGTGTTTGTTTGATTTGGGATGAAATTGAGAACGTTTTGAATATAATGGAGTTCTCACTTATTCCAACTCATGCTTAAAATATGACATTGTAATTGTTTATGGATGTAGGTTTTCCAGTTTGCTGATAAGTACAGGGGAGCCTACAGCACTGGGTTGAAGGCCATTGTGTGCCCCTTCTATTGCTCTTACTCTGGTTATCAGGTAAGTTGTAATATTTTACCGTGCACATTTGATGGTGTGCATTTTGGGGGGATTAAGTTTAATAATGTATTAAACTAACAAGTGTTTCCTTGGATATATGGCAGGATGAGCTGTTATGGGGTGCTGCTTGGTTGCACAAGGCTACTAAGAACCCAATGTACTTAAACTACATTAAGGTTAATGGACAGACCCTTGGTGCTGCAGACTCTGACAATATCTTTGGATGGGATAACAAACATGTTGGAGCAAGAATACTGCTTTCTAAGGTTCCGAATTCCATCACATTTCGTCTTACTGTCTTTTCCAGGGTTGGTGACAATGATAATGGTTTCCAACTCACATTTGTGCTATGGATTTTAGGAATTTCTTGTTCGGAAGGTGCAATCCCTTCATGACTACAAGGGTCACGCGGACAATTTCATCTGTTCTGTTATCCCTGGTGGCTCTTTCTCTTCTGCCCAATACACCCCAGGTGAGGTTCCTTTTCCCTTTTCTCTTACTTTTGTTCACATTCTCCAAGTCTCAACCGTGTGGTCCAATGTGTAACGGTTACCTGTGATTCCTGGCTCTTCAAAAACTTTGCAGGTGGGCTTCTGTTCAAGATGAGTGATAGCAACATGCAATATGTCACGTCCACTTCCTTCTTACTCCTAACTTATGCTAAATACTTGACCACAGCCCATATGGCTGTGAACTGTGGTGGTACCACTATAACTCCAAAGAGGCTTCGGGCTATAGCCAAAAAACAGGTAAAAAAAAAAAGAGCTATCATATCTAGTATGTTGCTAATGTGCTTTTAAAAAATGTGCATTTTGTTCTTATTTTATAGGTGGATTACTTGCTAGGAGACAACCCCTTGAAAATGTCGTACATGGTGGGGTATGGTACGAGATACCCACGAAGGATACACCACAGGGGCTCATCCCTTCCGTCCATTGGTGTTCACCCCGGCAAGATCCAATGCTCAGAAGGATTCAGTGTGATGAACTCACAATCACCCAACCCCAACATTCTAGTGGGTGCCGTTGTTGGAGGGCCCGATCTGCATGATAGGTTCCCGGATGAACGGTCAGATTATGAGCAATCAGAACCAGCTACTTATATTAACGCACCTCTTGTAGGAGCACTTGCATATCTCGCACACTCATTTGGCCAACTGTAGAGCGTAGTAATGTCTCCTGCTTGTGTATGCGCATCTCTTGTTTTATAATATTATTTTACTAGATTAAGCAGATTGTTGACTATTTTGTATTCCTTGGAATTGCACAAGGTATGGAGTGGATAAACAGCTATTGTGCAATCCCCCAACCTTGAAGCACGTTGTTCAAAGCAAAAATAGATAGCCTTGTGTTATGTTTTAGGAGTATTTTACACTTTGTTAGTAGTGTTAGGACTTGGGTGCTCAACCTATCTATTGCTCTGACCAAAATTTCGTGTCAGAGATGGCGTTAATTTGATCAGTGGAAGGTTATGTTTTTAATTTATTTGGTTCATTGCGGCGATGATCCTGCACTTGTGTTGCTATATATTAAACTATCATTTAGGACACTAGTATATGTGTCCGGTGGTAATTAGCATCCTTGTTAAGATTTAGGAGCTTAAAAACTCATTTTCGGATGCGGCTGTGTTATAAATTACATTACTTTCCGATTCACATTATGCATTTAGTTGTCTTAAGATATTTATCATTTTAAAATGTTAATAAAATGTTTATTTTTTTAACATTCTCTTGTTTATTAATACTTTACTTGAATAATTAAATGAGCTGATAATTATATTTTAACTTTTTAAAATGAAGACATTTTCAAAAAAATGTCATCATAATAATTTACATAACTAGTAAATTTTTAAAAGTCATTAAAGATAAATAATATAAACCAAAAGAATTGGCGTTTGAATCGAGAGGCGGAAATAGAATCCCTTGGAATCGAGGTTCCTTGAAACTTGGAAATAATGAGTTGATACTAGCCAAGCGTTGCAGGGGTAGATATGGAAAGGAAAGAGACGTAGTTCACGGGTCACTCTGTAATCAAAATATTTTAACGAGCAGTGTATAATAACGAGTTTTGACCATTGAAAGTGACGGAGAGGAAGAAAGAAGAATTTGAGTCACATGTGAACAAAAGAGGGAGATTGAGGATCATACAGTCAAAAAAGCTGGTTAGGCTGCGTTATGTCAGAACTGAGAAGTAAGGAGTGCAACTCTTGCAAGACGGAAAGACATTCCCCAATGGTTGGGCCCATTAAGGGAGGGTGGCAGGTTAATTATTAGCTTAATTATACTTTATTCTTTTATGTAATATATGGAATTTTTATTTAATTCTTATTTATATATTAAAATTAAAGTTTTCAATCATTTTAAATTTTTATAATCAACTATTTCAATTATTATTTTTTGCTATTTAAAATCTTTGAATTTTCGTAAATTGAGTTCGTTACATCATTTTCAACCTTTTTCTACCAATTAAATAATTTAATTCAAATTTTAAAAAATCAATTTTCTCTTTAACCCAGCACCACAAATTTTCTACCAATATTTTATTCAATTAATTTTTTCTATCTTTAACCTCTCATTAATAATTGTATGTTTTGTATTCCTTAACCACGGCAAGAACCTTTATATAATAACATTGGTGAGCGTGTAGCATCATTCTAAATGGTCTTGAAAAAAATTTTAAAATAAATACACAGTAATTTTTAATAAAAAATTTAAAACACTGGTTGATAAAATTTTAATTAAAAATAACTATATAAACAAGAAAAATTATACTTCACCTGGTTTTTTTTCCGAGTATATGCATGTGGTTGTATGCATTGATGGCACCAAGAGGATATTAATAATGTTTTATTTACTTACACAAAACAATATTTTTTAATGAATCTTAATTCTTATCACATGCAGCGCCATAATACAAATAATTAAGCCTTGATTAAAAGCAATACCCTTCACGTGGAAATTGACTCACTAGTTCTAAGTTGTCTTTTTTAAGTAGCCATAAGATTCATCATGATTTATTCTAAACCCTAAATAAAAAGGATAATAATCCACACAGGTAACTTCCAGGTCAAGATGATGGATAGCTGCAAATCAAACAAAAACAAGTAACATCCAAATCCAACAGCCAGAGCCCAGCATTAGTGACATGATAATCGAAGTTAACATAGAAAAAGTCTTCCATGAGACTCCTCAGGTCCGCATCACAAGTTATTTAAACACGAGGGGCAAACTCATATACACATATACGACTCTTATTGTAGTGAAAATGTTTAGCTAGTTAACTTGCGTCGTCCTTTGCTAGTGGAACAGACTTTGCCTGCACAAAATTAATGCTATAAATTAAGAAGACATAGTTCATAACCCTGCATGATAGTATCCCGACCCTTTTTCCAAAACTAACAAAGGAGCAAATGTAACATCACTCACCAAATCACGAAACTTAAGGATGTAGAACATCTCAAGATATCGTCGAGTTTCACGCCTCTCCAATTTGGAAACGTATTTCCAGAAACTATAAACTCCCGCCAAGGTCATAAGCCTTTCAGAATAAATCTTCCATGTGTACCTGTTATTTTTCGCTTAGCATTTAGTGTGTCACCAGAAAGAAAAAAAAAACTTTTTTTTTAATCAAAATTAAATACCTTTCGTAAATTCTTTGAAGCCCTCCATCAGATACCTTATTCCAATGGCTTGGCTCCTCCTTGCATTTCTGGAAGAATTCAACCAACCGCTCTGAAGCTTGATCAGGGTGATAAGGATCAATATGGAATCCTGATATACCATGCTCAATGATCTCAGCAGGACCACCATGGCAAGTAGCAAATGTGGGGAGTCCACAAGTCATGGCCTCCACAACTGTAAGTCCAAAAGCTTCATAGAAAGCAGGCTGCAGCACGGGAGGAACAGTTAACAACGATACGGGAGCAGTTTGATCAAACAGTAAAGAGACATTAGTATAATACCTGAATGAAAGCACCTTTTGTGTCTGCTATGTAGCGATACAGCTCCCCGTTACGTGCTCGGTTTGTTTGGGCAGCGATCCACCGAAAATCACCATTCAAATTATATGTTTTCATGAGATCATGCATCTTCTCTATTTCTGCAATTTCTTCTCTGTCCCTGGACTGACTGACATCAATGTAACCAGCTACAACGACAAGGTTGACCAGTTCCCTCAATTTGCTGTTCTTACCATAGCTTTCTACCAAACCGGTTATGTTTTTCACTCTGTCGAGCCTTGCCATAGAGAAAATTATGGGCTTTGACCGGTCCTTTAGCGAGCCACTGCCACAGATAGACAGATAAATTCTTTAGCTGTCATAGTCACTTATTCGTATCTGACAAATGCGGCATGCTTCTTAGCAGTTCCTAAAAATGGTTTTAGATATTGAAAATAAGCATGTCGTACGGGCAGGTTTAATCCTGGCATAGGTACTGAAGGACAAGTGATTTCTTGAAAGTGAAGTTAATGAACCACAGTTATATAAAGTTTTTGCCTGATACATAACAGATAGCATGGTAGAATTGTCAAAGTAATCAGAAGATCAATTATTTATGGAGATGTGGATTGTTGTAGCAATAAACAGCCCAAATTAAAATTTTCTGCAATTGAAATAGACTCACATGTATTCATCAGTCTGCTCAGTATCATATAATAGCTTTTCAATCGAACCATGCAGGGCCGTAAGCCTTTTCTGCTTTTCGGAGTAGGGGAAATATATTGACATATCTGCTCCAGGAGAGACAATATTGAACTTGGGATCAAAAACATCAATGCCATGTACAACCCTATAGAGTCCAGGAAGAGTAAAAGCAGTGTGGCTCTCATACTGGCCAACAGTATTCTTCCTGAAATAACACACAAGAAAATAAAATGAGTAGCATTAACATATTTGAAAACCAAAAAATATAACTAGGAAAAAGACTTAGAAGAAAAAGTAAGTTAGCACAAGAGATGGGTATGTGAGAAGCCTAAAGAGGATAATAGAAATTGTAACTCATATGCCTGCCAGAGAGATTTCAAAGATAATAGAAATCACTAGGTATAGCAATAATAGCATCATATAACTGCGAGGATTTTCGTAAGCCATGGGAGTCACAGTCACCATAAACATATTAGGAAAGTTGAGACAAAAAAACTATGCGATACCAAAAACAGGATAAGTTTTGGGATAGTCATAGGATACCTGCATGCCAAATGGGTATGCAGGTTTCATGAAAAGAAGCCAATAATATTACCAAGCAAGTGTTATAAGGGGAAGAAGGGTATAAAGCAGTATCAGAAGAATTGACATTGTGACAAATCATAAGTAAACTGTTTATCATAAAAAAAAAACACTTACGTTCCTGCAATCTCTTGGTATGTACTGGTGATGATAAAATCAGCATTGTTCATGGCTATTAGGTCAGCAGTGAACTGGCATGAAAAATGGTATTTATCCTCAAATTTCTTCCAATAGATATCTGAATCTGGATATTTTGTCTTCTCAAGTGCATGCGCGATTGTGCACTGCACATACAAACGTTCAAATCAATTAAGTTGGATTATTAGCATAACATGATATGAGCTTTCACATTTCGTATGGCAAAATAAGAAGATACAGAGGAGGGACAAGAACCTGTGTAACTCCCATTTTATAAGCCAATAAAGATGCAACAAGATTCCCATCACTGTAGTTTCCAATGATGAAATCAGGATAACCCTGCAACTCAGCAGCAATTTCACTGGCAACATCCTGTTGATGTAAAATGACGTAACCATCAATGTTAAATGGAAATGCTGGCACATGAAGTATATTATGCATTATTACAAGTCTTTACCATGCCTAAAGAAAGCTAAGAAACCAACAATTCCTAATGATGATATTGATTCATGATCCTGTGAACAATTCTAGCTAATACATGTTGATAGACATTTACCTCAGCATAAGTCTCTAGATAAGGCCACACGTCAAACCTTGAGATCCATTTGCGGAGAGTTCCGCTATCTGATCTGAATGGAACTCGCAAAATATGAGTGTAGTCAGTACCACTGACTCTTTCTAGTCGCTGATTGCATGTTGTCCCCTTTGCATCAGGTATTAACCTTGTGACCTTCAGAATAGCAGAGTATTATTAATTTGATTTGAACTGAAAAAACAAGCAACTAGAACACCCTTATCAAT